AACTAGTTATTGTTCATCCACTTATAATATATTTATACATATATGTACATGATTATATATACTTAACTAATATGATGATGTTTACTGCTCTTGGGTTACAGGAAAGAGATAATACTGCAGATGAGAAGGTCCTGTATTCCGCAGGTAGCCTCCAGGACTTTGTGGAAATTCCATCCAGGATTACCAGTGCAATTTCCTGTGAGGTAATATTACAAACGACATGGCGCTATAAATATCACTAAAGAAAAAGGTTGTGACCGAAAGAGAAAACTTTCGCGAATTAGTCACAGAAAAGTCTTGTCAGTTGTGATCTTAATACAGCGACAACGAGTTTCAGTGTGAAAAAAATAAGGAAAAAAAAATTAAAAACTTGTGTCGCATCCAATTTTATCACCACATTTAAAAACAAAAACCTGACTAGTCACAGATATTTGTTTTTTAAATGCTAGACATAAAAAGATTTTGTTGGCACTAAAAACAATCTCTATAAAAAAAAATGGCTAAACACATGATATTAAAACGGGTCCAACACATGAATACCCAAGAGATTTTCCTTTTCATTTCCATACTCAAACGAAAACCATACTGAAAGCGCTCCCAAACAAGCAAATATTAATTTATCAAATGATATTTATTTGATCTTCACCCCCAGATTAAGTCCTTAGCACTATTCATTGACTCTTAATATTCGATCTAAATGTAACAGATATTCAGCAAGTGCTCGACTGGAGTGGATGTGCACACAATAGTAATGGACATATTGCGTTTGATCAAACACTACAGCTGGGAATCAAAGGCGGTGTTGGCCTTGACTTCATTTGCAGTGACCTTTGGTGAGTTTCGGATTGTCCTTCAGCTTTACTCCACCAGCCCACTCGCGAAGTCCATCGCTCTCCTCAAGCAACTGCCGGAGATATTGGAGCACGCCGCGGACCTGAGACCGAAGCTCAATGAACTCTACTCTCTCATCAACGAAATAACTGATGTGACCAAGAAAATTGTGGAGTTCTATGACATTCCTCGAGTCTACTTCACTGCCGAATCCCCTGAAATTTTAGCCGCCATTCAACACATCCCGACCGCTGTTTACTGGAGCATCCGGAGCATTGTGGTCGCCGCTACACAAATCTTGGCCCTCACTGGCATGGGCATTGAGTACGTATATACCTTATCAGTTCTTGAATTTTACTAGTAAATAATTTACTAACTATTGACTTGTCTTTTCAGTTACTTAACCGAAACATGGGAGCTATCATCCCTTTCCCATAAGCTCAACAACATCAAAGGGCATCTTGCGGACATAATAAAACGCTGTTATGAATTCATTGGTGAGTCCTAGCTATTTAAATATAATAATTAAGCATGTGTCGTATTGATCTCCATTATACGCCTATAACTAAATGATGCGAAATACTATAAATTGTCTGATTCAGAGAGGAAGAAAGAAGAAGAAGCTTATGAGATGATTGTACGCACTTTTACAACATCTCACATTGACAACTCGAGGCCTCTTAGGGTTTTGTTCAAGGATGATCCAACTCCAGCAATCTACGATTGCTTCAACAGAAGAAAGGTGATATATTATATCTCATGATCATGATTTTTAGAAGTCTGATTTTATTAGCTGGCAAAACAATAATCTCTTGCTATCTCATTGAAAACCAGGTTACGATTGAGGAACTGAGAAGAAAGGTTGTAGCTCTATTCATCACCGCAATAGACCCCGAACTCTCAGGTACAGCTGAATATGCGATCTTACAACAAATGTACTCCGAGAAGAAACACAACCTGACAAGGTCCGAGAGTCAGTACGAGGTAGTTTGGGTCCCGGTCGCGGATATCTGGACCGACGAAAAGTACAGGCTGTTCGAGACCCTAAGAGACCAGATGGAATGGCACTCGGTGCACCATCCTTCGGTGGTGTCAGCGGTGGTCCGCAGGTTCTTCAGAGAGAAGTGGAACTTCTCCAAGAAGCCTCTGCTTGTGGTTATGGACACTCAAGGAAGAATTGTTCACCACAATGCTATCCACATGATGTGTATCTGGGGAAGCTTATCGTACCCTTTCACTGCCAACAGAGAGAAATTGCTTTGGGAGGAAACGAACTGGACCATTGACCTTCTCGCCGACAACCTTGAGCCAAATATGATTTCATGGGTACGTAAATGTTTGTATTTGTGTCTTCATGGTGCCAAATCTAATATTTATCCACTTTCTCATATTTTTCGAGTAAATTTGTAAAATTTATATGAGCGGATCAGAAATTTGATTAAGCTACGTGTAACTGAGTGAGACGTATGTCTTCATTCAAATGTTGAAAATTTTCTTATTTTTACTACTTATATGTGCTTTAAAATATTACATTCACAAATCACATCCTAGTATTTATTACAATCTATTATATATATACATATTGCACTAAACTTAAATTTATTTTTTTAATTTTCAGATTAACGAAGGAAGATACATTTGCTTGTACGGAGGGGAGGACATGGAGTGGATCAGGAAATTCACAAGGATCGCAAAAGATGTCGCACGGGAATCTGGGATCACTCTGGAATTACTCTACGTGGGGAAGAACAAGGGAAAGGAGAGGATCACCAAGAACATCATTGACCTTATCACCAATGAAAATCTGAGCAGAAGTCTTGACTGGAACCTTATTTGGTACTTCTGGCTCCGCTTGGAGAGCATGTGGAACTCCAAGGGACAGTTCGCCAATCCCGAGAACGTGAAGAACGACCTCATCATGCAAGGCATCATCGCCATGCTCAGCTACGGCTCCAGCGACCAAGGGTTCGCGGTGATCAGCCGTGGATTCGGCGAGATGGCGAAGGGCAACGGGGAGCACATGTTCAAGGGCTTGGCCGAGCACGGCCGGTGGAGGAAGAGGGAGACCGAGATCAGTTTCGTGCCTGCGCTCAACGAGTACCTCCGCAAGATCCACCTCGACGCGCCGCATCACTGCACCAGCCTCATCTTGCCGGGCACCGGGGCCATGCCGGATACCGTGTCGTGCGCCGAGTGTGGACGCTTGATGGAGAAGTACACCATGTTCCGCTGCTGCCTTGACTGATATCGAGCAAATTGCTATGGCGCCTTATCTCTATCATAATTAAATAAAAAGAAAATGAGATGGTTTAATTTGTTGTTTTTGTGAAGTGATCATATATATGTCCTACTTATGTATTGCCTTTGGCTTTTTGTGAGAACCATGCACTACCTGTTGGCTGTTGCTTCGGCTACTACACACATACATATTTATTATACTGCATGATTTTACTAAATGTGCGAGTATTACAATGAAAAAACCTAGAGAGTACTGTTGAGCACCACAAATAATAAAAAACGATTCAACTTTTAATGAAATATGATTCAACTTTTTATTAGTACAGGTGTTAGACGCCACCGGTGTCTCCAACTTTATCTCAACTATTAGTGATTTATTTAGTTTTTTTTTAAAAAACCAAAATTGCACTATATGTATTGTACAGAACGTAAAATCTTTGTTAATTTCAGATTAATGAAGGGAGATACATTTGCTTATATGGAGGGGACGACATTGAATGGATCCGTAAAAGATGTTGCGCGAGAATCTGGGATTACTCTGGAGTTGCTCTACGTTGGGATGAACAAATCTAAGGAGAGGATCACCAAGAACATTATCGACCACATCGTCACAAAGACTCTGAGTAGAACCCTAGACTGGAACCTCATTTGGTACTTTTGGGTTCGCTTGGAAAACACGTGGAACTCCAAAGGACAGTTTACCAATCCCGAGAATGTGAAGGACGACCTCATAATGCGAGGCATCATCGCCATGCAGAGCTACGGCTCGAGCAGCCAAGGCTTTGCGGTGTTCAGCGCCGGGGATTTGGCGAGATGGTGAAGGGCAACGGGGAGCACATGTCCAAGGCCTTGGCTGAGCACGGCAATCTGGGATTACTCTGGAGTTGCTCTACGTTGGGAAGAACAAATCTAAGGAGAGGAACACCAAGAACATTATCGACCACATCGTCACAGAGACTCTGAGTAGAACCCTAGACTGGAACCTCATTTGGTACTTTTGGGTTCGCTTGGAAAACATGTGGAACTCCAAAGGACAGTTTACCAATCCCGAGAACGTGAAGGACGACCTCATAATGCGAGGCATCATCGCCATGCTGAGCTACGGCTCAAGCAGCCAAGGATTTGCGGTGTTCAGTCGGGGATTTGGCGAGATGGTGAAGGGCAACGGGGAGCACGTGTCCAAGGCCTTGGCCGAGCACGGCCGGTGGAGGATGAGGGAGACTGAAATCGGTTTCTTGCCAGCTTTGGACGAGTATCTCCGCAAGATCAACCTCGATGCACCGCATCACTGCACCAGCCTCATCTTGCCGGCCACCGGAGCCATGCCTTTCACCGTTGCATGCGCTGAGTGTGGCCGCTTGATGGAAAGGTTCACTATGTTCCGTTGCAGCCTCGATTGAACAGAACCTTATAGTTATGTGGTGACTTCTTGAGACGAGGGATATTATCATAAATAAAAGAATTGAGAAAGTGATTTGTTGTTTTTGTGATGTGAATTCTACTATGTATTTCCAATGTTTTTTATTTATTTATTTTGGCTAAGAATAATGTATTACTTCCGCTACTACTGTGGGAGTTTGCAGCTATTTATAATAATAAAGGTTTGCCGCTTTTCTTGCATTACTTCGTATTATCTGGTGAATATATTATCTTTGCTGCATTGATACACACATATATGGATGAGTCCTTAAATCGGATTAACATTGTTTAATATTCAATTCCAAATAGTATGATACCATTCAATATTCTTGAGATATTTAGGTAATGTTTCATGATTTTTAAGGTTGGATTGACTTTTACCATAAGTACTAAAACTATTACAAAATATACCACAATGACATCATTTAAGTTTTGTGTTTTGACCAAAATTATGCTTGTAGTTTTGTGTGTTTTCAGTATTTTAGATTTTGTAAGACGTTTTTTGATTTTTTATATATATATTTGTGATTTTTATGAATTTTACAATTTTTAAATATCTTTGGTTGTGGCATTCTCTGTAATAGTTTATCTCCCCTTACAGGTATATTTCAATCCAAGTTCAAAACCTGTGATATTCTTGTAAAGTAATCAAGAATATGACTTCTAAACTTTATCTTGTTTACCAAAGAACAATAGTAATTTTCGTTTTGGAAAAAACAAAAGAGATATGTAATAATAACTTTCCAGCTGAGAAGATTGAAATAGAAAAATTTCGTGTTTCCGATCAAAGAATACAGTGTAAAGTCTATTCTACACGTATTTTAATAAAGGTAGTGTATCGTTTTTCATATGTATCTTAAAATGAAAATTTTGGGACTAAACTTTACATTAATTTGCGATCCATGAATTATTCCCCACCTTTATCTAGCATATCATGGTAAAGAATAGAAGACCTTTTCTGTAATAATATTCCACATTTACATGCTTAATTTTCAACTTTTTTTAATACCTTTTAAAAGAATTTCGCTTGGTCGGTTGTTTGTGTATAACTTATATTAAGAAAATTACAATTTCCTTCTCTACCTAGTAAAAAGCGCAAAGTCTTTAATTAGATCTGATATATGTACACGGTTGCATAGCCAGCGGACACACATATAATCCGGCGGGAATCATAGTAATCAGTGGTTGTTAAGCTAAATCCAATATCACGACAGATTTCTTTTACTTTAGACCCAATTTTTGCTAATGAGTTTTGGATCTAATAAAATATTTTTAGCCTATTTTTTTTATTTTTATTTAAAACATTCCAAGTTAGAAGGAAACTTATTAATAAATTAAAGGGAGTAAAATCACCTTGCCCCTCAAAAAGAAACTATAAGCAACAAATCAAAAAAAAAAAAAAAAGAAGTGACCGTTTATTTTGATAAGAGTAATTAATTATGAATTTTATAATTGAAGATTATGTAGCCATAAATTATAATACTATTTGAAAATGATTCCATTCATAGCAAATCTTCTAGCTAAAATAGTAACAAGTAATAAAGTTCACATCAATAAAACAATATCGAGTTGCTACAAGTTTACCTAGAAATATTTATCTTTTGCACCGTGAAGTGATAATAATCTATTGGTGAATTTGAACAAACTATTTTGAGAAAAATGTGAGCCTAATTTTCATATTAAAGTGGCATTGATGGATAAATTGAAATTAAAAGTGGTATAAAGCCTAAATGTAGTTTTTCTAGAAGTTACTATTAGCTTATTGGGTCCAAAAGCTGCTTATAACAGTGTTTCGATAAGACAAAAGTGCATACTTTGCCATGGTTTTGTGCATGTCTATTATTTGTCATTCTAAAAAATAGGGCGCGATTATGACATTTTATTTTCTTTTTATTAATTAAATGACAATTGTTTATATTTTGGTGGAGTGGCATAAATAATATTTTTTTTACCAACTTGAGTGGTATTTCTAGTTTTTCCCTTTGAATAATCTGTTAGAAGAACTTTGATCTCCAAAAGGACTTCTAGCCAAAGCCACAAAATGTTGCTTCTCAAAAAAGCGCTTTTGAATAATTTTGAAACATATACCAGAGTTTCATTAAAACTTTATAAAATTTTTTTACAACATTTTTAATGTCTATTAAAAAAATTTAAAAACCATTATGATCTATTTAATCTCTTTTAAAAATATAGTTTTAAAAACTTATTTTAAAGTCACAGTTTTTACTTCTCTTCTTCTTACCAAAAGAAATAAAAACAATGTCAAAACAGAACATGTTTTTTTATTAATAAAGTTCTTTTAAAATAAAATTCTTAATCAAAGTAGAAGTACTATTTCTCGCGAGGAAGCTTACAAAATACAAATTTTGGAATTTTTTTTTTTTTCCTTCTTGTAGTTGGATGTCTGTCAGCTTATGTACAGTTTTATTTATTTATTCCTTCCTGCACTTAGTCAATAAAAGTACAAATAGAGCATCCAATGAGATTTTTATGTTTTTCTTCACAATAATTTGCAGTACACCATATAGTTTGATTTTTCGACTATAGAAGCACCGATAGGACTTTTTTTTCCCCCCCTTTATTTCGCTGTAGAGTACTCGAACAACAGAGAAAAGCAACACTAGCAAGGGACAAGAAAAAAGACAACGACGACAGCCAATGGCACATAATATAAGCAAAGCTCATATCCTAAGATTTTATATGTCGAGAGAACGGCACTTTAATTATAATATGGAATCTAAATCCTTATTGAATATTGGAAGCAAGGTAGCTAACGAAGCACTTTTCCCCTTGGTGCATGCCCTATATAAAGGGCATAGAACTAAACCAAATCCAAGCAATCGCACAATCTCCATTTCTTAATTCTCATCCTCCAACCACCACTAGAGCCACACAAATTTCTGTCAAACTTCATCATGGAAACTACGATCCCGACCGGCACCGCTTCTTCGTCGGCTGTTAGCACTACTCCTCTAGGGGCGGCTGCTTCTTTGGCGGCTCCTCTCTCAATAAATGCTCCTACGGTCTTGACGACTCGTCCGACTACTCCTCTGGCGGCAACGGGGATTGCCCCGCAGAGGAATGTCCTCGGTACTACTGCTGCTTCTGCCGTGCAGCCGAATGTAGAGCAAAACCTAGCTGCTCGTTTCTTGGCGAACGGGCGATCTTCTCGTTCGCCGACGGTTGGAGCTAGCAGCCACAGGTCGGACGACACTGAGCTGAGCAAGAGAATTCTAGAAACTCATGAATCTGATGA